TCGAACCTTGGTTTAATGCCTCATCCAAAGTACAGCAGCTCCTAACCATCTGCTCAGACTGAGGGGGGAGTGATGAAACACTTCTAATGCAGTGAATTCAGGGTGAAGAATCATTCCCCTGCCCAGCAGTACTGACTTCACTACAACTCCGTATCTTGTTAATCGCATGGGCACTCCGGAAGACATGTGTACGGAGGCTTGTTGGAGGATGGTATCGCTCCCTCCATTCCTGGATACTGTGTTAATGTCAGAGGTTACTTTTAGGATAGCCCCTGTTTTGGGTTTGAGAGAGTGAAGGGAGATGTTTGACATGATTATTATGGTGATAAGAAAAAGCTAAGAGAATGGGCACTCGCTGGGGTTGCACACAGCAATTTCTTTGATATCTTGGAGACACTCGTTTTTAATTAAACCACTGGCAGCATCTATTATGCAAGGTTAGAGCTCAGAACAAGTCAAACGAAAGCTGTTAACCCCTGGCTGGAGGGTCTAGTCCCCACAGCACCACCACCGTGTGAGCAGCCAAATAACGAACAAGATGTGGCGGCACGGAGACAAAGAGGAATCCAGATGCAGAACCGTACCGAATTAACCTCAGCCCAGCACCTTTCCCATGGGAATAAAACAGGCAGAGTTAACCCTTTCAAAGGCCAGGTGTCAGATTTTGCTTACACTCCACGTAATGATCATCTTTCCATTTGATGTTGGGAGGGCAGTTCAAAGTTCTTCATAGGATTTACTGTAACATGTAATAACTTTGTATTTTGTGGGCCACAAACCAGCCAATTTGCTCACACCAATGTCCCACAAACAGCCATGAAGTGAATGAGCAATTTTATTGAGGGGGATGGCTGACTATGACATGGGGAGAAACTCCCTTCTTTTTTCTGAGAATTGAGGGTGTTGAACCGAAGAGATACATTTTCTAAGCAGGATTGTAAAGGCAGGAGGAAGGCAAGGCAATTTTAGTATAATTGCAGAGAGGAGGTCACCAAGAGTGGGACAGAGAGGGTGAGGAGCCAGCAACGCACCAGAATCATAAGGATAGAGGGTATGGAGGAGAGAATGATCTGATTGAGATTGGGAAAGAAGGGGTGAACCGTGAAACGATTTGAATACTCAACTGGAATAGATTAGGAGAAGATCAGAGAGATAGGGAGGTGCTCGGGCATGGAGGGGTTGCTAGAGAGCCAGTGGAGCCTGGCGAGGACTGGTTATAATAATAATAATAATTCTTGCATTTGATATAGCGCTTTTCACGTCTTCTCGACGTCTCAAAGCACTTCACACAATAGACTGTAAAGTGAATGTTTGTTTGTGGCTATTCCCAGATTTTACACCCAGAGAATTCCTAGATTTAACACCCAGTGAAGGAAGACAGTGGCAATGCTCTCACACATTTCATGCTGAGCTGTGTTGTCCACCGGGAAGCTTGCAGGGAGTTCCTGGTACCTACCATCCACCTAGTGAAGGCTCAAACACGGGCTTGTCGGATGTCGAACGACCAACTCGTGACTGTCTTCCTGGGAGGGGGGGGAGGTAAGCGGGGTTTCCTTGGAGCTGAACTGGCTCCAAGGTGACATGCCTGGCAATAGAATGTCGGAATCGAGACAGCCCTCTGTGGTGGTCTTGGTAGTCTAGTTCCTGAGCCAGACAGGTCTGCACAATTCCTGGGCACTACTGATGACTCATCAGCAGGACCTGGAAGGGCAGACCAGTCACTGGGGGCAGGGAGTCATCCCACTCAATTCTTGTTAACCTTGCAAGCCAAAGCCATACCAGGTAGGGTGGTCTTAGCTGGACAAGCAGCAGGAAAGCTTGCCAGACAGGGCTATCAATGGCAAACTATGCAGCTTTAGCTGTTCAGACTCCAGGAGTTACTCACTCCACGGCTGTTTGTGGAACATTGCTGTGCACAAATTGGCTGCTGGTCTGACTATGGAACACACAGTCATCAATCAATCGCCTGCAAAGCTAGTTTGCACTCAGTCCACAAACAGCCATGAAGTGAACCTCCATTTACCTGGGGATGGGGGGGGGGGTGAGTGTTGGCCAGGACTTGGAGAGAAATTCAGGAAGCCAAGTGCAAGCAAAGGTTGATACTACGTTTTCTTTTTAATTTAAATAGCCTAGTGCCCCTCAGAACATTTGTTCAGGGATCTCAGAACTCCTCTCTATTTGGCTAACAGCGCCTGACTCTGTCATTGACTGCCTCGGATCGTGAACCAACACACAGTGGTTGGGTACAATGGGTGTTTGATAAGGCAGAAACAATGACTCTTTCTCTGACCTGCTCCCTGCTCTCTTCCTCGGTGCCGGATTGACCACTGCTATCACTTTGTCAATACCGTGCATCAGCTGTCCATCTACCACCAACTTCCTTTTGCCTCCATTCGCTGACCGCCCCCTTAAGTCAGTGATATTCCATCCCTGATTAGAGAAGGGATATTTCATCTATGCCAGGACCCACAACCCATTCTGCCTTCCCCCATCTCTGTAATATTGCCCACCTCCGCCACTGCCTTTCACCTCAGGCTGGCAAGACCCACATTCAGGCACACATTAGGCTCCACTACGCTAAATCCCTGCTCGTCAAACTTCCCAACTCGTCCCTCCACAAGCTGCAGATCACTCAGAGCTCTGCAGCTTGTGTCCTCTGTGAACCCATCATCCCCCAGCTCTACTTGCTCCCCGTTTTTGTAGGTGAACACAGAAGCCAATTTGCATACAGTGACATCCTAGAAACAGCCATGGGGTGAGTGACTGATTTTATCTGGTTTCATGAAACCAGTTTACTCGTGAATTACTCATGAGAGATGAGCCAGGACGGACTGTTACTGCTGGATGTGCTGGGGACGAGTGCTTGTGGGTAGTGGACAGGAGCTAAGCCACAGCCATCCCTCTAGTGCTGAGTGTCTCATCAGAGACAGAATCACAGCCTCATTCTTGTCTGCTCGGGGCCTGGGGGCAAAGCTCAACCACGCAATGGGCCCTCTCTGTCTGCCTTTAGCCTTCAGATAACCCATCACTGCCATCAGCCACACCACCCTCCCCGACTAGTTAAAATCATCGCCACCTTCATCCACACCCCATACACACACCAGGTCCCCCCACCCTTCCCCCCCACAAACACGCACACACAATTACCATTAACATGAGAGGGAGGGACGTAGAGTTTTTAGCTCTGTCGTTCGGAGTTGATGTTAAACCAAGGTCCTGTCTGCCTGTTCAGATGGACGTTAAAGATCCCATATCTATTGGAAAAGAGAAGGGAGTTTCTCTCTCTTGGTATCCTGGCAAACAATCCCCCAAATATAATTGCTCACTCACTCCACGATTATTTGTGGGACACTGCTGTACGCAAACTGGCTCCTGCATTTTGCACACAAAATACACAGTCATTGCACTTTGCAATATAGTCTATGAAGTGCTTTGAGACGTCTCAATGATGTTACAGGCACTATATCAAATGCAAGGATTATTATTAATATTAACTACAACCAAACATAGCTTCCTGCTCTGCTGATCCATGGATTCCTTGGCACAGTGTCCGGCACAGCGCTCCACCCACTGTCTGCTCAGAGAATTCCGTGAGGTGGGGGTAGTAGGTCAGAATAAGCCATATCCCGTCGCCTCGAGCAGACGGAGCAGGGCGTGTGCTGAGCGGCCGATATCACTGCCGTGATCTGAGGGGCTGTAAACAGTGCAGGTGAACATAAGGTCACAACGGAGTTAATCTAACCCACCAGGAAGCGACGCGCAACTAATCCAGATTCATGGCCAGCTAAGCTGTTTACATTAGCATTTTAATTCAGATCGGGAATGAACACAGCACTGGATTACAGATAAGAGTGTAAACACAGCCTTAGATGTTCAGGCAGCTGGTGAGGTTACCTCAAAACCACCTTGCATTCAACGCAAACCTAATTTAAAGCTTACTTTTTCCACGCAAAAAGATTTCCTTTTAATTTTTCCTTATTGTCTCCTTCCTTCTTCCTGGTCAGATTGCCTTCCCCAGTGCAGGCTCACAATATGCAAAGGACTGTACCACAGGTCACCGGACACAGCCCAGCCTGTGCTGAGCGAGCTGTAGGTTTTGTATGTAACCAATCAAGGGTTTTATACGGGTTCAATAATTCTTATGCTTTACAAGATTTTACTGTGACTGAATATTTTTTAGTCGAACGCAGCAGTCAATTTGCACACAGCATATGTCCCACAAGCAGCCATGAAGTGAGTGAATTTTGTCTGGGGTATTTGTTGGAGAAACTCCCTCTTCCAAAAGGCCTCAGTTTAACGTCTCATTTGAAGGGCAGCACCCATGACAATACAGTTCACTGGACTCCCCCAGCATTGCACTAGAGGGTCATCTTAGACCAATGGTAGCCAACCTCTTTGATTTAATATTTCTTGATTTATGACATAAATCTATGCTATTTTGATATTTCTATGCTTATTTTGTTGGCCAACTAAAAAGGTTGAGCATTGCTGGCCTAGACTATATGGGTTCCAAGTCCTGACCTGGGGCTTGATCCCACAATCTTTTGACTCAGATGTGAGACTGAGCCAGGCTAACACTTTATTAGTGCTCCCCCCAGTGCCGCACTGGAGCATCTGACAAGAAAGCATCACAAGGTATCAACAATAATAATCATCCTTGCATTTGATATAGTACCTTACCACATTGTCGAGTCTTCTCAAAGCACTTCACAGAATATAGTGTGAAGTGAATTGACTGTAAACGTTGTGTCCAGTCGTGGATTGAGTGACCAAATTATTATTATTTTTTGAAGGGATTATTGTCCCCGGAAAGCGATTTGCCAATTGACTAACAACTGGGTTCCTACTTACTGCTAGGCAAATAGAGGTATGTGGAGTAAGGAAACTTGCCTGAGGTGTTGCCCTACCTGGGAATTGAATCCGGGTCCTCTCGTTTACGAGGCGAGTGCTCTAACCAATACGAGTTTTAACGTGTGTTTTGGCATCTGTGTGTCTCACAGAGAAGAGAAGCAGCGCTGGATCCGTGCCAAGTACGAGCAGAAGCTGTTCCTGGCACCTCTGCCGTGCTCGGACCTGGCGCTGGGACAGCAGCTGCTGTGTGCCAGCGCCGAGGAGAGCCTGCGTGCCGTCATCCTGCTGCTGGCTCACGGCTCCAAGGAGGAGGTGAACGAGACGTTCGGGGAGGGAGACGGTCGCAATGCCCTGCACCTGGCCTGCAGGAAAGGCAATGTTGTCCTCACACAGCTCCTGATCTGGGTACGTGTGGGACACAAAGGTCCTCGCAGCAACTTAACAACAATAATAATAATAATCTTTGCATTTGATACAGCACCTTTCCCGTCAGGAGGACGTCCCAAGGTTCTTGACAGGATATTATTGTAAAATGAAGTGACTTTGTATTTTGTGGGCAAAACACCGGTTACGCAGAGCAATGTCCCACAAACAGCCGTTGAGTGAGTGACCAATTTTATTTGACGGATTGCTGATACATGCTCTCACATATCTGTGTACGAGACAAGAGAGTGTAGATGAGACAAAGTGTGTGTGAGAGACTGAGTGTGTATGTGTGAGCAAGTGTGTGTGAATCAGCCCGTGTGTGAGTGTGTGCATGGATGCATGAGTGAGTGTGTGAATCAGTATGTGTGCAAATGGGTGCGTGAGTAAGTTTGTGAATCAGTGAGTGAACGTGTGTGTGTGATTCAGTCTGTCTGTCTTTCAGTGATTGTGTCACTGAGCTGGCTGCGGTGCTCCTAACTTTTGACCCTTGCCTTTCAGTATGGGGTTGATGTGATGGGACGTGACGCTCATGGGAACACGGCGCTAGTGTACGCCAGGCAGGCGCTGAGCCAGGAGTGCAGTGAGGTGCTGCTGCAGTATGGCTGCCCAGACGAACACTTCATTCTGGTGGCCACACCCAACCTGAGTCGCAAGAACCCCAATCGCAACAACAACAACAGTGCCGATGGGAATGGCGATGGCAGGGTTGGCGATAGTGGGGGGATGAGGATGGACACCAGGCTGCCCACCGTTATATGAGGAACCCTTCTCCCGGCTTGTTGGAAGCGGTCTATAGAGAACAGGGCTGTTCTGCCAGCCTGCAATCAAAGCCTCTGCCTTTATACAGTGTTGTGCCCGTGACACCCCACCCAACCCCAACCCAACCCTATTCAGCGGTAACTTCTGACGTGCTCCTACCCACCCTTTGTCCCAGGAGGAAAGAGCTTGGAGCAATGGGAAACAAACCCTCACAGACAACTGTCCCTTCTTCCTCTCTCTTCCTATTCCCCCCCTTCCCCCCCCCGCTCCCCCTAGGAGAAACCCTGCCCGCTTCAAAGCCACTTGATAAGTGACTTGACTTATAAAGGCTCGTCCAGCCTGAGCCAAAGGGGAGACTTGTTAGCAAGAAAGGAGAGCGAGTTGGGAACTTTCAAGCGCTGCCAATTAGCCGCTCGTACATTTCACCTCTACCAAACTGGTTGATTCAGCTCTTCTCGCAGACGCCCGCTGACATAAATCAGCCCAGAGCACGGAGTTTGTCAGGTTTGAAGATCCTATGATGGTATGTGTCAAATCAGTTGTGGCTAATCTGTCCGGGGAGAATACTGGCTTCATTACACTTGTGTAGTTGCCTTCTTCCACCGTTACCACTGTTTAATAGAACATGATTAGTCATCATAGAGAAAAGCATATTAGCTGAGAAGGTAGTTACGTGCTATGGTTCAGTGGTTACTGGGATGTGACTGCAATATCCTCAGTAGCAGCACATTAGCTCAGTCATGTAATTCCAGTCCTCTGAGCCCTCCTTCCCAAATTCACTGTCATAATTTAGTGTCTATTTAATTCTTTCTTGCATTGGAAGAATGGGATGGGGGTCTTTTTTCACTCTCTCTCTCGATCACTCGCTCACTCACTTGCGTGCTCTCTTTCTCTCTCTCTCTCTCTCTCTCATAGCCCCCTTCCCACCTTGCAATGCAATCTGTTTGAACGGTGAAAGGCAAAGAGCGCTGGCTGGATTGTCAGGTCAAGCAGCCGGTGCTGTGCAGGGAATAGGAACCATGTCTATGATTAAAGGGAAGAGAGTACGGCCTCCTTTCAAAGAAAGGACAGGGAATCGATCAGTCGCAGCCTCATTTCTCAGGCGCTCCTCACTGCCCTTCTGACCTGCGTGCTCATTGGCTATGTGTTTAAAGGAAATAAGAGGGAAAAACACGATACTGACATACACTCACTCACACACTCTCACACTGACTGACACACCCACTCACTCACTTACACACACACTGACACACACACTCACTCATCCACTCACTCATCCACTGACACATACTGACTGATACACTCACACACACAAACTCACTCTCATACTGACTGGCTGATACTGACACTCATACTGACTTACATACTCACACTGACTCATACACACACACTCGCACTGACTTACACCCAGACGCACACTGACTGACACATACTTAATGACACACACACTCATCCACACACACAGTGTTCAACACACTGGTTCACGCATACATAATGGTGATGCATACGTTCACATACACAAATCCATTCACAAACACTGAGACTTATTAGCACACCCTGACTTTCACAGGCACACATGTTCACACACACTCACTGACTGACTAATGTGCTCTCTCATCCTCACGCACTGATAGGTTCAAACACATTGACACGCTGACACACATTAACATGCTCTCATGTGCTGACACATGCTCTCACATGTTGACAAATGGCAGTTGAGTGTTGCAATGCTCACAGGGAGGAATTTCTGAGAAGATTGTATGTGCTGCTTGTAAATATTCTGTAAACTTGGACGCTATAGTATTTATATGTTGTATATAATTTTGTTCATTCCATAGGGGATTTAGCCTTTTTTTTGTGTGCGTGTGGGTGGGGGGAGGGGGGTGCGTGGTGGGGAGTGGGGGGACATGAGAAGGTTGGGATGGTGAATGGACAGATTCATTCTAGGCTGAGCACCAATGTGGTCCCAAGGTTAGTGGGGCCCGGAGTGAGACACTGAATGGTGGTGTTTTACTGGGGGCAGGGTTGGAGGGTAGAGATATCAGAAGAACACTAACCAGTGATGCACAATTTCACCTCAATTACTTTTACACTCCACTGTCGAGTCCAAATATGTTTATTTTTCTAGTGTTTGTGATGTCTTGTGAACTTGTCTCTGGCTAATGCTTTTCTCTATTCTCTGTCATTAGGAGCATTGAGCTACATTGTACAAGCTTAACTCCCTCCCATAACCATAAGAGCACTATTTAAATATATATATATATACATATGTGTGCGAGAGTGTGTGTGTGTGCGTATAAACTGCTGACTTTTCCTGTGTTATTTAATTAGATTACTTTGACTTTGTGCTATCAGTGCCCGGCTGGTTCCTCCTCTGGTTCAGGCAAGGTTTCACTGTATTTGGCTACACCTCTGCCACTGGAGAGACGGTCTTGAGCTCAAATGTCCAGGATCCGCCTCAGTATTTTCCCTTCAAATGAGATGAGCTGTCTACAGTCATTGTATGACACAATGAGTGTGTGACACAATATCGGTGAGTGACACAGTGTGTGAGTGTGACATGGTGCGAGTGAGTGTGGGACACAGTTTGAGAGTGGGACATAGTGACGGTGTGCGATACAGTATGAGTGTGTGACAGTGTGAATATTACAGTGATTGTGTGACACAATATTGGTGAGTGACACAGTGCGAGTGTGACATGGTGTGAGTGAATGGGACACAATGATTGTGTATGATACAGTATGAGTGTATGACACAGTGTGAGTGTGTGACATGGGGGATAATGACAAGGGGGAGAGTAAACCTCAGGCAGAAAATAATCACAGGCGTAAGTAATATCAGAAGCACAGAACTGGGAAGAGTAGCGGCAACACTCAGGAAGCAGTAGCAGTGAGGTGAGTGAAGTGTGGGATAGTCCCCAATCTATCAACATTCTCATCTGCCTCGTGCCAAACCAACACTGAGTATGTTTAACTTCATCTCTGAGTGTAATCTGTACAAGGGAGGCAGCATCTCTCTGATCTACACTGTAACACTGGCCTGTAAGCACTGCCCTCCATCATGAATCTAAAATTCTCTGTCTCCAGTTCCCAAATTGCCAAGAGAAATCTGGCACTATATTTCCTTGGAGGGTCTGTTGGAGGGCCTGCCGCGTCATTGTTTCTGATCCCGGTCTCTGCTCTTACCTGATCTCAGGCCTGGGTTAGCCATTGGGGCCACAATTGATATCAGCGCCCCTGGGCTGAGAAGTGGAAATCAGGCAGAATTGCCAGTCCTAATAGCAATCACCTTCCCCCCACCCCAACCCCCCCTTTCCAATACTGGGTCGGATGTGTATGTGTATGTGTGTGAGAGGTGTGTGTTTGGTGGGGACAGGATTAGGCTTGGCTGTGATGCCTCTCACCACTGACTAGACTGGTAAGGATCGCAGTCTTTGGGTCACACGTGACAAAATAGCAGAGGGCACATTCCTTCAGCATGGATCAGGAGGAGGGATGGAGGTCGAGCGGGTGGAGGGATTGGAGGGGTGGGGGGAGGGGGTGGAAGAGGAAAACTGGTGCTAAAGGCAATGAAAAGAATCTGTCTGAATTCCCTGTGGTGTATATATTGTACCCAACGACAAAGCAGCTCCCAGTGAGGAGCAAGCACAATCCCAGCTCACAGTCACCTTCATATGGACACGATGCAAAGCTCTTTGTTGGATTATTGCCTTGTCAGTATTCACTGGGAAGGAGCCCTTGCGAACTTCAACACTACACTTTACAGGGGATGAGATAGCACATGATCCCAGACCTCGCCCTGGGCCTGTTTTGTCAGGGCAGCCTGGAATTCAGTCAGGCCCCCATTATACAGGGTGTGCACAAATCCTGTTACCCCCCTTGTTTACATAGTACGCTGACCAACAACTGAAACGTGGAAAAATGATGATAATTGTATTTAGAAGTACTTAATTGTATTCAGTACAAGTTTTTAACTACATTATTTAGACATCCAGAGGATTGGTGTGAGTGCCATCATTTTCATGGCAGATAATGACCTGTTGCCATGTTCAGTGCGACGTCTTCTGTAACATGATGGAGTAATGAGGAAATTACTGGTGTCAGACATTGTTGCACTCGACTCATCTGCAACAGCAAATAAAAATTCATTGTAAGAAAAAAACATGGGGGGGTAATAGGATTTTGTGAACATCCTGGATAATACAGTGGTAACCTGGAACTCCTGTGTGTGGAGCAATGCGTGATGTGTGCTCCTCAGTGTAAATAGGTGTAATATGGACTCAAGCAGAGTGAATGGATTTTTGGTTCTACTATTACCTCATTTGGCAGTTCCTGTTTCACAATGACTAGACGCTTTTATTTATATGTTTGTACTGAGAATAAAAGCAGTTTGACGTTGCCTGTATTTTTTTTGCCAGTGGAGTTTTGTTTGCCTCACATTACAATTGACCATACCAGTTCTGTATTATGATTTTTTTTGTGTGTGGGTCACCTGTACAGTACTCTGTTAAAGACTGTAAAGTAAGGGCAAGGAGACCGAACTCTGCAATTGTACGTCTCCTTTCAATAAAGAAAAACTTCGTAATACATTGTGGTTTTGGAGATTCATTCAATTAAAGGGAGACTTTTGTTTTTTGGTCAACCAAGGAAACCCATCCCATTAAGATTATTCAAACCAAATTGAGAGTTCCACCCACATGTGCACATATCTGGTTGAGGTACCTCGTGATGTGATAAGGCGTTGTATCAAATGCAAGGATTATTATATTTCTTGATTTTGATCTAGTACCTATAACATCAAAACGTCACAAAGCATTGCACACGATTTGCTGTAAAGCGTGATCACTATTTTGCAGGTGAACGTGAGCACCCAATTTGGACACAGCAATATCCCACAAATCGCCATGGAGTGAGCGATCAATTCTATTTGGGGGATTGTTGGCCAGGATACTGGGAGAAACTCCCCTTTTCCAACAGTGCTTCAACATTCACCTGAAAAGTGTTCAGATGGACTTTGGTTTAATGTCTCATCCTTAAGTATGCATCTCCTTCAATACAGCACTCCCCCAGCACCTAACTTGTGTGTCAACACTATGTGCTCAAAGCCCCAAAGTGGGGCTTGAATAATGTTGCCAGATTGGGTGAACTCACCCCTAATTGGATATGTTTTTCTTGGACTGGGTGAAAAAAATATTTTTTTATTTAAATCGGCAACACTTTTTCCTTTGAAGACCTTAGTTTGAAAAGCACGAGCTTAAATTGGCCATTCTGCTACTACCCTGTAGGATGCGATGCACAATATTGAGCTATTTTTGGACTAGTATTTGGTTGACTGGACTTCAAGCATATTTTATTTTCTGGCAAATCCTGGTCTTGAACCCACGACCTTCTTCCCTGAGCTAGCTGGCATCTTTCAGATTACGATGGGTTTGAAATTGAATCATGTATACAAAATTCTAGAGCAAAGTTGAGTCGTGACAGCGTAATTTAGTCAGAAGTGCTCCACTGCCAATGATGGACTAAGAAAACTGAGATCCCAATCCTCCCCATCTCTGGAATCCGGGCCAGGCTCAGAAGGTCTAAAGCGAGACAAGCTTCAATCACTGCCACCAGTTTGCAACCTGATGGGGTGATGAGTGATTTGTTGCACCACCTTCCCTCTCAATGCAGTGCGGAGAGTGACGGATAGCGTGCTGGAGCAGAAGATAATGGTGCCATACATTCACCGTTACTTCTGCCACTGCCTGCCACCGTGTAATAATTTATCCTTACATTTGATATAGGGACTCACCAAGACGTCTCAAGTGCTTCACAGGATTTTACTGTATATCTGCGGATGAATCAATAGGTACACCTCAACATCCTACAAACAGTCGTGAAGTGAATGACCCTTTTGGGAGGATTGTTGGCCAGGACCGGAAGAGGAAACTCCCTTCTCTTTTCGAATAGTGCCACAGGATCTTTAACATCCACCTGAACAGGCAGACGGGACCTCCGTTCAATGTCTCATCTGAAGGACGGCACCTCCGACAATGCAACACACCCCACCTTTGCATTACAAAATCACAGTTGCACATTAGATTAATGCCTTAACTCACTGACCCAAAAAATTTACACCAGATTTCAATAAACCTAGCAGCCTGACATGTAAAGTGCAATATCAAATGCAAACTTTTTTGTGTATAAATAAGTTCTGTGAGGA